TACGAATTGATCAGTTGAATGAATTAATCAAAAAATGTGACAATAGACTATATTAATACATGTATCTGTGCGAAACAAAACAGAGGGGAATCTCTCTCCCTTTTGTGTGCATGTGCCGAGCGGGGGCGGGCAGTGCGGATGGCTGTGAGTATTTACACAACATGCCGTATTTTACGAATTCGTAAGAATAACGGCGAATTGGTATGAGAAGTATGCGAATCGATGAGAAGAGACGAATCTATCTATTTTTAACCTCAGAGAAAAGTGTCCTGTCCCTACGTAGCCTAGTAAGCGTACATATCGATTCGCAATGAATTTGCAGAATGGGTTTGTGAATTCCTGGATCGATTTTCAACCGGATCAGTTCGTAATACGAATTCGCTAATTCATATTTATGAATCAATCCAGTCCCAAAAACAGTGAACACGAATTCGTAAACTAATTTTACGAATTATTTGCGAATTGATCAGCATCGTGTTTGATCTATTCTCTGTTTACAAATTCGCAAGAAGAACTCGTAAAAGTTTATAAAAGTATCCGACGAATTCGATACAGTTCGCATCAATTCGGTACGAATTCGCAAAATAAGGATAAAACGCGAATTGTTGCATCATTTTTACGCTTAGAAGTTGCGATTCGTCAATTCGCCTTTAGACACTTTGTCCACACATCTCCACCTTACTTGCCCGAGATATATAGTCTAGAACCAGCTTGTGCTTGGTTTTCAGAGGTGCTGGCAATTCTCGAGGCTCCTGCAGCTTGTGAAGTGGTGCAAAAAGTTTCATTTTGTTCAGAATTGGGTTCTCTATCGACCGAGATGAGTTTCAGAAAAATTGGTTTTTAAAAGGTTTCCTATAAAGCCGGTTTTCTGGAAAATCCTTGAACTCTCAGTGTTACATCAGTTGTCATCGTTTTTTGTCTATAATTCCCAATTTCCGGCTCTCTACAGTCAAAACCGACCTTTTTATTTCGAAATCACTTGGCCGATTTCAGGAAAAACTGCTTAATTTTTAATAAAGATCGAATATCTCAAGAACGAAGAGGAATTTCTGAAATCTGGAATTATACTTTTATTTTACGAGTGAAGGTGGTTCGAATGGCATATTACACAGGGTTGCATCTCCTAACAAAATAAAAAACCCAAGGTGGGTTTTTAATATAAGAGCTTCTTGTCTTAGCAATTTCCCTCTGAAACGTGTCCCTCTCTTCATGTATTCGTCTAAAATCTTCACACTAGGTCTTTTCTACATTCAATTTCTATTGCTGAATCAGAATAACTTTGTTTGGCATCTACACGATGACTCTGAGAGGAGCTACAGAGCTTTTTCTGCAGTTTAAACGTTTGTCGGTTTCCAGGCTCTCAAAGTATTTTGATGTTTTTGACCGAAAAACTTATTTCGTCAGGGCTCGAAATGAGTTATTCTTGTTCAGCTCGTGGTTCTCTTTGGAATGATCTATTAATAAACCAACAATAAAATAGTGCATAAGTTTGAATTACGCGCCCCTTACATTCTAAAATTCTGAGTTTCTGAAAGTCTGAAAATCTAAATATTTTTCAAATCAGAGAATAGTCGAACATTCTGAAATTCTAATATTTCTAGAGAACAGGTACATCCTAAAAGTCTGAATATGTTTCAAATCGGAGACTTATGTACATTCATTGCGTCTGAAAAGACGCGTTTAAACGCGTTTTTTTCAGAAAAAATTTAATCCTTCGTACTAGAGCAGAGTTTGTGTAGAGAAGGATATCTAGCCTTCTTTGGAGAAGAGAGAAAAAGCTTCAAAGTCGACTGTGCTTTCGCTAGAGCAGCTGGAATAGATAGGTTAGATAGGTGTGGTGACGCACAACGAGAAAACATTGCTAGAAAAGGTAAATGAGAGACAAAATTTGATGATGATCATATATGGTAAAGTCAGTAAAAAGAAATAAGAACAAGGCGGTGTCTTATTCATTTGAAGATATCTTTTATTGAACTTATCGTGACTATGTATTGAAAAATAACAAATAATATGAGGAGAAAAGGAGTAAAAGTTTACATATGATCAACTAGTGAGAGTAGATCAAATGGATTATGTACCAAACAGAAGGATAAAAAGAAGGAAACCTTCAACAGATGCCCCTGAGTGACCGTTTCAAAGAGAAAAATTCGTATAAAAATCCTAATAAAGATTAATTTGAGATGAGCTCTTTAAGATTAAGAATACATTTCATTTTTTTATAGCCTACGTGCTTCACAATACAGATCTGAGTGACAAGTATGATTGTTTGATCGTTGATGATCAGAGGAGTGTAAGCTTAAGTAATGAAGATTGTCGAAGGCCACCCGAAAGTCTTATTCATCGAGACGATGATGAGTGTTCTGAATATGATATCGTGTATTTTTCCAGTTTACGTCAAAAAAAAACAATTTCCTAGGACATGATTGTCCTGGGAGTCCCGATAGATGTGATCGATATATATTAACTCTATTTGGAAAATGGAAAGAAAAGAATCGATATTGGTGTGACTGTTATTACACACATCCAAGATCGTTCGGTGTAAACTGTGAATATACATTCACCGAGTTTCTTGACAAGTCGAAGCCGGCCGTTGTGATTCCCTGGACTTCCTCCATCAGTCATTTGAGAAAAAATATGTTCGAAACCGCTCAGTCTCACGCAGATGTGACTAATGGAACTTGTTACACAGATTTACCTGATTGTAATGCAGGATCAGGCAACCGTCTTCAATAGAATCAGATCTGCGACGGTGAGTTTCGAATAGATTCATATGCAATCTGTTAAAAGTATTGCATCATAGATAAAGATATGCGCAACAAGTCCCAGTGTCTAGTTAAAAGAAAAAAAGTTGCAGCTTATTGAAGATGATCCATTTTCCATATCTGTAAAATGAACATCAGATTTTGTTATAATATTCTGTAAACATGAGAGCAAATTAGAGGATCGAACCAAAAGTTTGACCTTCTATCCTATTATCAGTAGAAAAGCGAAATCATCATTAAAAGGTATCATCGTCAATATCATTTTTTTGTTTGTTCTCTGATGAATGTAAAATAGAACACATTTATACACTGTTTTTTAGCAGAGTACGTCCATGCTAACTGGATTTTCAAACTACAGAGTATAGTTTAAGCTCGTAGTTAACCGCAAAAAAGGAAAGTACTGTAGTATAAAAAGATGATCATTCTTCTGTCTGTCTAGAGAATATCAAGCTCCACAGCTTTTCAATAAACTATATTTGTCAGCGTTGTTTCTCTGAAATCTTAGAACGTTTTCTCTATTGTTGTACTCAAATGGACAGCCGTCGGAAATAGTGACGAGAATCGACTATGGCTTTCTGCACTTTTCCAGAGCAGAATTTGACATAAGAAACATATTTTGTAAGAATCCAACTGAAAAGATCTATTTTGATAGTAATCAAATACGAAGCTAATCTGCTGTGGTCTTTGATGACATTAACAAGTTCTTACTAGTTTACTAATCTACCGATCGTAAGTGTCTCACAGAGGGCAACCACATCATATTGAAAAAACGAAAGTACATTTTTTCAAGATTTGAATAGCAGGTCATATATTTCAGCATACGCTCTATCGTTTTGTCATTGGAATGTTTTTTTAAGTGTCATAGTTAGTGACGAAATTGTTAAGAAAGTTTTTGTCGGAAAACAGAGCGCTGAAGATAGAAGAATCATTTTTAGTAAAACAGAAGATGATAACTGTAAAAATCATACACAGTTCGAAACTAGACCTTTCACTCTGTCTATTCATAAAAAAATTTCGCCAAAGAAGATACAAAACACTTCAAATAGCATAAACTTTAATAAACAAACAATTGACTAGCTGTTTATCTGCGGCTTTCCACTATGACATTAAATCAAAGCATGTATGTAAAACCAAGCACTATATATGCAGTGTATTAGATATATATATATATGAGCTCCGTATTTTCTAGTGAAAAAAAAACATTCGATCACAAAAGAAACACCATTCTACTTAGTGTATGGGAAAGATCCGTTAATACCGGCAGATACTAATGAGCCGCCGTATGTTTATGATGAAAATAACCAAGATGATTTAAATGAGTATCGTGCTAAGCAATTAGAGAAATTATGGGATAGACGTTCAGCTGCACAAGTGAGATGTAATAATTCAGGTAGTCAAAAATGAAGCAACAATACGGTAATAACATAACAATAAGACCATTAAAATATGACTGAGTTTTATTACGTAAAGAAGTACATCGGAAATTTCAAGCAAAAAACTTACGTCCATATCAGATTAATTAAATATGTCCATTTAACACTTATCAATTAAATGATCCGTTTTGTATAGTTAAATTAGACCTAGTTCACGGTGATCGTTTACAGTCATTCACATAGGAAAAGATGCTGAGCTAAAAGAACTTTGGAAAAGATTTAATAAACATGCACGTTAATCATAAATAAAAAAAAAGAATTAAATAGACACAGTTTCAGTGACGATGAGGTCAATCTTGTTAACCGAGAGAGGATGTTATAAATCGAATTTTGCTTTATACGTGCTTCCGTTAATTCGTAAAACTCCTCAACAACGGATACGAAAAGAGAAAAAAAAAAAAAATGAGAGGGGTCTTAATCTAAATAGAATGAAGAACAGACATAATTCTCTTGTATAAAATATATTCTTTGTTCAACAAATAAATTTTTTCATAATAGCTGGGTCAATCCATATGACTCCTACCACGTTATACAGAGGTGACGGTGCAGAAAGCGAGACATACATTTTCTCGAGTAGTTTTACACACTGATTCCAATGGTGATAACCGCAGCTCTCTAACTACCTACCGAAAAAAGTTGTACGCACTTTAGTTTTCAGCAAAAAAGAGCACTTTTCACCGTTTTTCAGCAGAAATGCTCTCTATTGCAAAGCCTTTAGAAATCACATTTCCACGTGTAGAACCTTCGTTTTGGTCTCAAATGAAAGAGACATGACATCCTCATCTGAACAGATCAATCTGTTCCATTAAGTGCTGGAGCTGCAGAGCGAATAAGAAGTGACTCCTTGACAAGCAGCCGATATCTATGTTGTTCTGATATAAGGATTTGGAAATCAGTGTCTTTCATAACATGTCCTGTATTTTGATAATGTTTACCTATGGCCGACTTAGATTGTAATTCTCTTGAGTTTGAAATTTCCTTTATATTCGTCAAAGTGCTTATTGAATCTTCAAAGTCGTCTTGATCTAATTTCTGAACAACTTTCTTTAATTCATCCGTTTGTGATCGTGTCACAAGACCTGATCGAGACCTATTCGGCACTTTGGCTTTAAGGTCTGTAGTGGTCTTCATAACTTTCTTAGGTACTTCTTTTGTTTTTATCGTGATTAATTTTTTTCCTGATCTTTCAAATGTTCACTTATCCGGGTCTTCAGTTGACGACAGTTTTATCTATGTACGTCTCACCACAAACGGGGCATTTCGCTTCGTAAACCAGGCCTGATTGGATCTTTCGGACTGAAACCTAATCCAATCTTAGAATTAACATCACAGATAATTCTGACTTTTTTCTTGGGATAAATTTTGTTGACTGCTGCGACAATACGTTTACCGTACGACTGACTGCACAGGCCGAAATAAGGCACTCGAAATACTACATTTTCAGTTGCTGATGTGTCAGTAGTATTTACAGTAGTAGTTCTCGTAGAATGAATTATACCCAGCTGTTTACCAATAATAGAGTCGACAAATGATAGAGAATAGCCGCTCTTCTTAGCTGCAGGTCTAATAAAATCAAACTGTTTATGAAGAGTGCCGAAGGACGAACAAATCTTTATGGCACGAAAAGCCATCGTTGTGATTGCATTTTGTTTGTACCTTTTCGGAACAAAACTGAAATTTGATCAATAGCTGCTAATGGAATATATATGGTACCATATAATATTTTTATCTGATGGTGGTTAAGTGGTGGATAAAAGTTTAAGACCACTTTTATTTCTGGATTTTCTTGTGAACGAAAGGTGCTCGAAGATATCTAGCGACAGATTTGTGTAAAGACCACTGCGGTGTAACTAGACACATAACAAAAAAACGTTTAATCTAAATTTGAGAGAATGAAAAGAGTGAACTTTTAAAAGTTTAAGAGTACCGAACAGGAAAAAATAAGCGAATTTACTAAAAGAAAGCGTTTTTGGTACCAAAAAAGAAACGTTGGTGCGTTTCAGGAAAACTTCATAACTCGATGAAAAAGGTCACAGAAATATGAGGAATGTTTCACTTTGACGAGAAAAGTCTGCGTTACCTTGCTGAATGATCAAAAATGGCTTTTAACTAATATGAACAAATTCAAAAACTTTAGGCTTTTTAAATTTGTTAAAATTCATCTTTTCATAACTTTAGATTAAAATTTTTTTATTATGTGTGTAGTTACTCCAAAGTGCTCTATATACAAATCTGTCGTCGGATATCTTCGAGCTACTTTCGTTCATAAGAAAATTCAGAAATAAAAGTGGTGTAAAACGTTTTTGTCCACTACTTCAGATTTATCTGTAAATCTCTTAATACAGAAGCATTTGATTTTGTATTTCTTGAATTCATTACATGTTCTTAATATATTTTGTTCAAAATTTACATACTCTATCCCACCCAAACCAGTGATCTGTGCAACATCATAAAATAATTATTTTCCTTTTTTCTTGAAAATTATGTATTTCTAGCATGGAAACTAGAGAATTTTGGTTCTTTCCCTTTTCGTCTCTCTTCAAACTTGTCCGTAAAATTCTGCATCTTTCGATGCGAAATAAAACGTTGCAGCGGAAATTTTCAATAGATAAGAATAGGGGAAAAAACGTGGCTTTACTAATTTTCGATCCGATTTTCTTATTTATCAGTTTTTACTTCAATCTCAACAACTAAATGTTCATGAATTTTATTTAATAATTACATAGTTTTGCGGAAAATTAAATTCTACATGTTTCACCATAAAACTAATAGTTTGACGTTCCGGCGTTCTGACTCAGTGCAGTTAAGACATCTCGAGCTATTCTGTTGTGAGTAGTCTGAAATTTCATCGAATGAATTTCGTTCTAGCTGATCTATGGATATGGCACAGAAATTATCATTAACAATACTTTTATTAGTGATGGTTCAAGCTGTTATATATGCTGACGTGTGTACTGTTACATTACCTAATAATCTTAGTTACACAGTGCTGCCATTATTGATAGATGGGTTTGTACTAATAATTGATAGAGATAGCAATATGATACGTTGCAATTCTTACAGTTGTCAAAAATCCTCCAATTTAATTACTACTCGAGACAGTAATGCGTGTAAGTATAATGAATGCCTGGTAAAGGGTTACTCTTTTCTTCTGCAGGATTTTACAGCTCAGAAATAATCAAGATTATATATTTGACACGATCAGTATCATCCAGTTCATACATTCTTTTCAGTAAATATTTTAGGAATTTCAACATGTTGCCTTCATAAATTCCCCAAATAATACTTTGATTCTTGTTACCGATTAAAGTATATCAAGGTTTTACTGTTATTTTGTCCGTTTATATTTTGATAAATTTTGAATGTTTCTTCTGTATGTAAGCGAAAACAACCTAGAAATCGCAATTCTTGTCTAAATACAAATTAAAAAAAAATACGCAAAAACTTTTAAATGTTTCTCTTGTCTTTGTAAAAAGCATCTGACCCACTTGCTGACGAGGGAACCGCCTCAGGTGCCCAGCTCCGATTTCCTTCATTCAAACCTCGTTTTATAGAGCACATCGAGCTGGTAAAAAGCCTAAAAGGATTTTAGCGCATGCCTCTTGAAGTCTCGGTTTTCTGCAAAACCAGTTTTTCAGAAATTCTAAAAAATAATCAAAACCTTTCATAATGAGGCATAATTATAGCCCGTACATTTCTGATTAAAATGAGACGTCTCCCAGTTCTACACGACCTTTCTTTGCAAAGTTATAGAATTTACAAGAAAAGTCCTAAATTAATTTCTTCTTATTTCTACAGCTTTGAGCTGACAATGAACATTTAGGGCTTTTCTTGTAAATTCTGTAACTTTGTAAAGAATGGTCGTGTAGAGCTGGGAGACGTCTCATTTTAATCAGAAATGTGCGGGCTATAATTATGCCTCATTATGAAAGGTTTTGATTATTTTTTAGAATTTCTGAAAAACTGGTTTTGCAGAAAACCGAGACTTCGAGAGGCATGCGCTAAAATCCTTTTAGGCTTTTTACCAGCTCGATGTGCTCTATAAAACGAGGTTTGAATGAAGGAAATCGGAGCTGGGCACCTGAGGCGGTTCCCTCGTGAGAGAAAACTCTTTTTGTTTCTCGATTCTCATGAAAAACAATTTATAAAAACGAATGGTCAAGAACTCGTTCTGAGAAAAAGAGAACGCGTCCGAACGCATTCCACAGAAAGTATAATGCATTCGAACGCATTTCTGGTAAAAACGGAACCTGTTCCATCTCAAGACACACGGGTTGTAAAAAAAATGAATTTTCTCAGCAATGAAATTAAATCTTAAAAAATCCACACGCACTTTTAGAGATGAATTCAAGGCGAATCGAATGTATCATTGTATATGCATAGGCTTTAATTTGAATAGCTGGCTCGTTCTTTTCTTGTTCGATATTTATTCTAAGAGAAAAGTTTTACTGTATATGTTTCTTATTTTGGTTCTTTCCCTTTTCGTCCCTCTTCAAAAATGCGTTCAGAATTTTTAGAGAATGAATCTATATTTCATTGTTTGGGCCTGTCCAGCTAACGGTCGCCTCTTTTCGGTCATTTACAAAATTTTTTGCCCAAGTAAACATCACCTATAGGAAAAATCTAGATACATTTCGTCTATAATCGGGCGATACATTACTAGTTGGAAAAGGGACTCTTAACTAGATGCGTCTGCATGAGCACCTAGCAATAGTTAAATCGATAATTGCAACTAGAAAATGTATAGAATATGATCTTTTTAGCAAACAAATGTCGGATTCTATGTAATTTTCGATGCTCTACACAATGGAGATGTTGAATTTCGTCGTGCCTCTTATGTCATGCAATAGTGGGTGGATCTGAATAGAAATACCCTTTTTTCGTAGTGGCTTTTGTCGCCAACTTCTATTACATCTGTGTAACACTTTGCTCTATATATTGAATTGAATCCAGAAACGAAAACTACCTAATCAGAACACTTAGCCAAGCCTGAACGCTTCGTAATTGTTAGAAAACGTCTTACGCCCACCCCGTCTTCAAGATCCCGGAGCAAGGTCAAAACCGGTCCTGATAGCTTACTATCTGCAAACTCACCACCCTCATCCTCACCCTCACGACTTAAAAACAGCTTTCAGCGCAATCCCTGTAAGATTAAAATGTGAAACACGATGGAGCCATTTAAT